GAAGCGCAGGTGCACAGCCCGGCCGCCGGGCCGGCCGGTGCCGCCCCGCCCCTGGCGGTAGCACTCGCCCCGCCCTCCCATCCTCACCATGACGTCAAGGGGCCAGCTACGGAGAGTGGAACGCGGAGTCCACGTTTCCTAGGAAACGGTGCTGGGGCTGGAGACGTTTTGTGTGCTCTTACGTCATTACGCTACGGTCAGCGCGTTCTCGGAGACTGGGGGAGGTGCTCGGCCAATCCGAGGGGAGAGTGATACCTATTGGGTGCTATCTGTAATATTTCTACCGGCCTTACAAGACTACTAGGAAACTGAGTTACAATACTTGCTGAATCCTTCGGGGCTACACGGCGTTGAAGGGACTCGGGCTAACCTCGGCCGCAGCCTCAGGCCCCAGATTCCTCCCTCTCCATCTGAGCCGGCCCTTGGCCTCTGCCTGCCCAGAGCCAAGGGAGTGTTGACGGACGGCCCGGAAGCCGGACCGCTGCCCGGAGAGAGAACAAACAAGGAAGCGTCCAGTCAATCCAAGAAGGATCTTCACGCAGGTTCTCGAACAGCATACGCTCTTGCGCACGCGCAGCCACGCACTTGGGTGGGGCCTCGATCTCAGGTCCCGCCCAATAGTCGTGCGTTTCCTCTTCCGACGAAAGGCGGGACCGCAGCGCCAGCGAGAACCCTGGGCCAGCGGTCCTCCGCTAAGTTCCGCTGCGGGAATGGCAAGCTTGAAGAGCTTGGTCCTGCGGCCCTGGATTCGAGAGCTGGTCCTGGGGTCAGAGAGGCTCTCAAGTCCACGGGCGGGGCAGCTGCTTCAGGTGAGCCCCCCAGCTCCCTCATGTCCCGGAGACCGAGGTGGGGCCCCAGGACAGTGGGATTGACGTCCTTCACTGTCGTCAGGTGCTGCAGGAGGCCGAGGCCCCAGGCCGGTCCTGCGCCACAGGCGCGTCTGATGTCGGGGCCACGCTGCTTGTGTCCGATGGGGCCCACAGTGTCCGATGCCTGGTAACGCGGGAAACCCTGAACGCCTCGGACTGGTGAGAAAGGCGCCGCGGGGCCGTAGAAGATTTGAACCCGGGGGAAGGTCGAGGCTTGAGCCCGAGGTGGGCGGGCCCCAGGCGGGCTGGACTGTGTTCCCTTAGGCTAGGCTGTGAGGGCCGTACTCTCCGCAGGGAAGAGAAGGAGTTTGGCTTCCGAGGGGCTGAAGGCCGGCTGCTGCTGCTGCAAGACTGCGAGGTCCGAGTCCAAGTAGCAGAGGGCGGCGCGGTGAGTGGTGAGGCTGGCTTGGGCAGGTTTACTTGGCCTGACTCTTCATGACAATTTCTGAGACCCGTCCCTGAACTCACCCCTCTAGCCCGCGGAGTTCTACCTCCAGGTGCACCGCTTCAGCCTAATGCCCACGGAGCAGCCCCGGGATTGGGTGACTGGTTGGTAAGTGATGCCTCCACCCTCCAACTGTTCTCCCCACCCAGGCCTGGCTGGCATGGGCATAGGCCTTTTGGGTGGGAGGGCTTGGGCCTCCTAGTAACACTGACTGCTTATCACCATCTTTTTCCTAGCAACCAGGACCCGGATGTGCAGAAAAAGCTGAAAGACTGCCTGGAGTGAGTGTGGGGTTGGGCTCAGGCCAGGTGTGGCTTGGTCAGAGGATGGCAAATGTGTTGACAAGCCTCAGGATTGTTCCTCACATCTGTCCCCTCTGTTTCTATAGGGAGCATCTTTCAGAGTCCGCCTCCTCCAATGCAGGTACTTGTAAGGGATGACCCTAACTCTCTGTAGAGTTAACTCTCCAGCTGTCATCTCTTGCTCTTTTAATAAGCCCTCTTCCCCACCCACCCTACCCTTCCTCCTCTTTGAGCTTCATTTTGCCCGTCCCCTGCCCCCCTGCCCCTAGGCCTTTCACTGTCTCAACTTCTGGATGAAGTGCAGGAAGAACAGGAGCATCAGGGGGCACTAGTGCGCCTGGCTGAGAGCTGTCTGATGCTGTCAGGCCCTTGCACAGCACCCCCGCTCACCCGCTGGGCTGCCTCAAGCCACTTGGCCATGGTCAGTCTGGGGCATCCCTTGGGAAATGTCAGGGTGAGGAGTTGGACAAGGACCAGGCTGACAGTTCACGTCCACAGGAAGAAGCTATGTACACTGTCCCCAGCCTATGGTTGCACATCTCTGAGACTGACCAGCGAATCCTGAACTCTCTGGGCCCAGGTCAGAGAACACAGGGTAAGGAGGACTGGAGAGCCCAGAGAGGAATATCTGGAGGCCTGGTGCCCACAGTGCTGATAAGCCTTTCCTGACCCCCAGGCCCTGAGCTGCCCCCACCAGACCCGACTCTTCAGGACCTATCACTGACCCTGTCCTCCTCTCCTTCTTCACTCAGTTCCTCAGGTAAGGTAGTGCTGAAGCCACACTAACTCGCTGCCCGGGCTACGCAGGATGCTATGAAAGGGACTAACACGGTCCCTAGAGGCCTGCCTAAGGTCATAGGCCACTCAGCTGGTCTCAGCTGAGAGGACTATGCTCACAGTGAGTCCTTTCCTCCCCAGGAAACTCTGCCTTACCCAGCCACATGTCAGCAGAGGAAAGTGGTGCCAGTCTCAGCCTTCTACCTGCCCTGTCCTTGGCTGCTCCAGACACAGGGCAGAAGAGCAGCTTCCAGCCCCAACCAGCCATCTGCTCAGCCCCTGGCCCCCTGGCCCCTAGTTCCCCACATCCCAGCCATGTATCCAACTCCCAACTCCTGAGTTGTACCCCAAGTCTGTCACCTCTTAGTCACATCCCCAGTTCACATCAGGCCCATGTGACCATGCCCCAGCCCCAGAAACCTAGACTGGAGTTCAAGGAGCTAGGGTTGCCCCCCAAGAACTGGCAGCATTCTCCAAGGATAAGAACCACCGAGGGAGTCCTGGAGTCCAGTCCCGTCTGGGTGAGCATAGCCCCCCTACAGCTGGAAGATAGAATGGAGTAAGCCTTGAGTAGAGTTGGGAGAGCTAGGATAACCTTAGATGGGGTTAGGGGTCCTTTTTGGCCCCTCTCGACACCACATCCTCTTCAGGACCCTCCAAAGAAGCATCGTGATGGATCCACCTTCCAATATGTGTACGAGCCACCCTGCACTTCCCTCTGTGCCCAGGTCCAAGCTGCCAGGTGAGTGCCTGGGGCTGCCCCACTCTGTTGGTCTCCATTCCCAGTCTTCATTGACCTACATACAGCCTTGGCTCTCTTCCTAGGCTCCCTCCCCAACTCCTGGCCTGGGCCTTGCATTTTCTGATGGAGCCACAGCCGGAATCTGAGCAAACCCAGGTGTGAGGGGTCATGTGACCACATGGGAGAATGTGTGCATACAGGTCATGCCTGTGGGTGGACAAACAGTGCTCCACACTCTGCTTCCTCTGAGTTTTTTAATAAAATAATCTCATGCGGCAGGAAAGGAGAAGGTCAGGGGTTGGGGCCGCCGCCTCTTTGGTCTGTGGCTGGGGAGGGTGGGCTCCGCTCAGGGCTGGAGGGCTCTGTATACTGTGGGAGCAGAGGCTCGGCTCCAAGGCCAGATCCTGCAAAAGAAGAGGGGGAGAGAGGAAGGTCAGAATTGGAGTGAGCAATCCTGCCACCCTAACAACCAGCCTAGCCCCTTCTTACCTAGGCTTGGTGATGGGGGTGCCTCAAGCTTTGGCCTTCGCTTGAGGACAGGGGAGCGCTGCAATCGTAAAGGCCGTTCTGAGGGACACAGAAAGGCATGTGGTGTGTTAAGGGCTTGCTGTCTGTCCCCAACCCTCCACTCCAATGTGTGCCAGCACGCGCACACACACACAGACATTGTTGCCTTTAGAGCCCCCCCTTCCCCTGTATCTTCCCATCCCTGGCAGAGGTTGCTCTTTTGGAGGTGGGACCAGAGCTAGTTGGAAGGGCTATCAGACCCTTGCTCCTGGCTCCCTGATTTCTCACCCCTCACACCACCAGTGGCCTCCTCCAAGGACCTGAGCCATGAAGAGAGACCTGGAGCCCACTCTTTCCCATCTCCTGCACTCAAGCACACATGGAGGTGTCTCCCCTCACCAACAGGGGCCTGGAGCTGGTCCTCATGCACAGACACTGCTCGTCGCCCTGCCGAGAGAGGCCTCGGCTTCAGCTGGCCATCTGGGGGAGGCCGGGGTATCAGGGTATGGTCCCAACAGCTGCCCCCATTCCAGCCCTCACCCCCTACCTTCAGGGTCCCCAGAGGAGCCAAATTCCCAGCAGGGACTTTTGCAGTCCCCAGCCCAGTATTGGGGTAGGGGCTAGCATGCCCATTTACCTTCATTTCTGGGGCCCAAGCAAGGATCCTCTGGGAGGCCTAAGCTGTCTGGGGAAGGGCTGGCTTTTCGGGGGCTGGGACAAGGGGAAGGGGGTCCTGGACCATCTTGTTGGCCCCAACCACGGCTCCTAAGCTCTGCGTTCAGCTGCTGCCCCAGTGTCTTCCAGGTGGCAGACTCAGACCCCAGGCCCCCTGGGCCAGGTCTGCATGAGGGGTCTGCAAGAAGAAGGGTGTCAGCCAAGGCCTGGGCCAGGCAATGGAAGTGAGCTTGACCTGCATATCCCCCAACACACACACAGTGGCCCTTACTCACCAGCAGACACAGAGTGGGTGCGGGACTTGATAGAGATGGGAGGGGCCTCTGAGGAACTGTCCATAATGTCACCTGCAAGGTAGGACTGGGGGCTCAGGCACCAGGTCTTGGGGGTGAGGGGAAGAAAAACTTGGCCTCTCCCCCAGAAGAACAAATCCCTTGGGGACTTATCTCTAAGGACATCCCCCTCCCCCAAAATGTATTGCCCTAGCCCAGGATCTCACCATCTGAGCCAGCCTTCTTGATCTCTCCATCTTTGCTCTGTAGGAAACAGGGAAGTCAAGCTCAGCTGTGCACCACCCTCACCCTAGCCTTGTTCTTTTGTTCATTCTTGTTCTTATAACTGCCACTAAATGTGGGCTGGGCAACAACATAGCAAATCCAGTCCTGATCTTAGAGCTCTGAGATGGTGGACAGTTAACACAGGCACATCCATATGCATGCAAAGACACACAAATAATGTGATTTCTTAATCCTCTGATTCACTTTCTATACTGTGGTTCTTAGGGTCTGTGATCAAAGTGGCATTAGCAGGATAGACATGGAAGAGAATCAGGGAAGGCCCACAGGGAAATGCAGGGATGGATGAAGAGGAACCTGGTATAACCCGTGGGTGGTGATGAGGGGCTGGAAGTGGGTCAGGGAGGTGCTCCAGACAAGAATGTGCAGAGGCTCTGAGATGCAACCAGGGAGGGAGAGCAGTGAGATGAAAGCAGTGACCAGGGCTGAGACAGGACCTTGAAGCAGGGTTAGGAGTCAGGGCAGTGGCTTAAGAGAAAGACCCTGGATGACTTGCTGTTTCATATGTAGGTAACAAGGTCAGATTTCTGTTAGATCTGCAGAGAAAGGACCATCACAGCCCCAAGGAGGAGATAACTGGCCTGGGAGCCAGGGCAGAAGCCAAGAGGGAAGAATGGTTGAATCTGACCACTATTTTGAGGAGGAAGGGGTAGAACTCACAGACCTGTGTGTCATGAGTCTCCTCCTGGTCACATGTCACCCACAGACTGCCACAAGCCACATGTCATCAGTCCCCTTACTTTGCACTTGTGTCCCTCCAAGCTCACTTGTTTCCTCTTTCCTTCGGCATTCCCGCTGCCTCTGCTCACGCCAATCCTCTGCAGCATCACTTGTACCCGCTGTTCAAAGGATGGGGCCAGTTCTGTGTCTCCTCGCTCCAGGGGCCGCCTCTGGGGACAGAGATGCCAGAGTGGGAGAGAGCCCAGTGCCCTCAGTTTCAGCAGAACCCTCACCCCTGTCACCAGGTCTCACCTTGTCAGGTCTGGTACCCAACGCTGCCTCCTCCTCCTCAGCAGGTAGCAGTATCATTGAGTAGGCCTTGCTTTCCCGAGTGTAGCGAGGCCGGCTCCTGCGGGCAGGGTCAGGGCTGCTGGTGCCCCCTTCAGCCCCACCAGGCTCCTCCCCACGGCCAGGACGGGCTGGTGGCCGCAGCAGGTCCCCAAGTGTGGTTTTTCGAGTGCGGGGAGCTGCCCCAGGGCTGGTCTCTAGATCAGGCCGTGACCCCCGCGTTGAACGAGGCTTCTTGAAGGCAAAGAGGGTACCCAGCTTCTTTCGCAGTGTACGGGGGACAGGAGTGGTACCACCCTCGGTGGCTGAGTCCTCCTCAGGGGCCCAGCTGTAGGAACAGCCAACAGTAAGCAGGAAGGCCCATGGAGCAGCCCACCCTCTCCCACCCCCTGCAGCTGCCCCTCACTCACAGGCGATCCTGTTGGATCAGCCTTTTGGAGAAGAATTCCTCCACGCCCTCGTCCACACGGGCACTGAGCCCATTCCCTTCCTGCGGCAAGGCTGGGGGTACCTGGGGGACATCACATAGTCGGGTCAAGGCTGAGCGCAACTGTGACTTCTCCCCACCTTCCCTCCTCCAACAGTCTGCCCTGGGCAACTCCAGGACCTGGGAGCTGGGGTGACTCTAGGAGGCTACTGACATGCAAGCTCTCCCCCTGTCCAGCTAGTGGGCAAAGATACTAATTTCACATACCTCCTCTCCCATAGTTGACCCTGGACACACACCCAACCCACATTCATTCTTGTCCCACGGAGTATCCTACACATCCTGAACCACCCGGTCACTAGCAGGCTAGAGCCCACGCATCCCCTGGGTCACACGTTCTCACCTGCCACCACCTCTGCTCCAAACAGTTTCCTGCAGTATCCCCCACCCCCACCCCCACCCCACCCGGCCTGCTGCTGCTCAGCAGCACAGGCCTGCTGCGTCAGACCCTCTAGGGGGGGCCTCAAGCCAGCTCCTCCTCCCCTTCTGCCCTGTGCCCTCTACCTCACTGGTACCCGGTCCACACATACACCTCCCCACACAAACACCATCCAGATGTGCAGCAGACACAGGATTGCCCCTGCAGTCGGGGAGCCCAGTATCTTGGATGTTGGATAAGACAGCCACCCTCTCTTGCACATCCACCCATGCAGCAGGCCAACCAGAGGCAGGGTCCTACACCCAGGTGCACCCTTAACGAAACCCACACACCCATGACCCCACATGGGTATGGCCTGGGGTGGGGGTGGCCAGGAAGAAGCCAGGATATGGCCACACGACCAGATGATTTTGGGCCCCTACAACCCACCTCCTTGCCCGCCATCATCTGTGAGGAGCAAATGGGCCACCCGAGACCCCCAATTCCACAACCTCTGGAGTAGGGGGAGGGCGCTCACCTGGGGGCCCCCAGGCGGCGGGCGGTGGTGGTGCTGGCGCCGGGGCCGTGGTCGGGCCCTGGTCGGATGGCGCAGAGGCTGCCCGGAGGGTGGCAGGTCCATGCGAGGCAGCTGGCCGGCCGGGGGCCCAGGAGCAGCAGGGCTCGGAGAGCCGCGTGCAGATGGGCCGGCCTGCGGCTCCGCATCCTCTCCAGGAGCCGCCAGCTCGGGCCCCGGTTCCTCAGCAGCACCTGAGGGGAGAGCACCAGAAGAGCACAGAGCACAGAGCTTAGGGAGGTGGCAGTGGCGGCTCTAGGGCGGCGGGGGACCCGCCCAGGGCGCGGGGAGGGGCCCGGCTACGCAGCCTGCTTCCCGCCCCCCCAGTCCCTCCCCCGCC